ATGAATCCAGCCGAGGTGGGATAGAATTCTATACACCATTGCCTACGGCGCCAGGAAGCAGGGGGAAGCTTTCCGCTCACGACTTACCCAGTGCCATGCACCTGTCCACGAATTGCCCTCGACAAAGATATACTGCGAGGTGGCACCGGCAGCACGAATGGCATCGATTGCCTTCTGGTTTAGACTCGCGACAAGGGCGTTGTCTTCATCGTGAAACTCGTTGTTCGTGTCGAAGATGACCTTGTCGTTCGACGCGTACCGCTTCGCCATCGTTGACCACCACGACCCGAAGCCATTCACATCCGTGATGATGTTGTTGTAGTATCGCCCGAAGTTATGCGGGTCGATAATTACGTAGGCACCCCTACATAACTAAGTCAGTCTGATTTATGCGTCTCCCCGGCATACAATGCGAGGTTACGAAGAGTAAACACTGACTTTCCGGTGATGTACTTGACAATGGTGTCAAGGCCACTAGCATAGGTCTCGTTTACAGTACCCGTCATCTGCGTAGGGACGAAGCGCTCCCTATTCTCAGTCAGCACTGTATATGGTTCTAAATTCCCGCGTTGGGGTTACTTACATCATAATGGGGACTCTGAAGGTATTCATCCCCTTGCCAATCATCGTCTAGACAAACACGTGCAGTCAGCACCGCCATCCCCCGATGATGGAAACTGGTAAACTCACGTTAATGGCATTCTGGTCGGGCCAAGTGTAGTCCTTTCCAAGCTGCCCAGGCAAAGCCGTGTTACCGAACTCAGCGCCAGACTCGTTGACGCCGACGAACTGGAACTTGCCCGCGCGCTTCGTCGCAGGCGCGGCGACCACGCCGGTGATGGCAGCCGCCGTAGCGAAAATCTCGACGAACTTCATGGTGCCCGAGTGTTAGGAGACTTGTCTTATGAGATGTCTAGCCACTACATGACGAAATAGATGTTTCACCATATGGGTTCGCCCATGTTTATAGCTCCAGCAAGTTCGCCGCGAAGAACCAATCGACCGAGGCGGAGGTCGTAGCTCCGCCTCGCATAAGAGCAGGGAGATCTATAACGACAACGGGAAGGCACCGTCCGGCACCGTCGACGAGGCTCCTCGACCAACCCGGCGGCTCTCATGATAGTGGGGAAATTTTCCGAGCCTGGAGGTGGAGGGCTGCGAGACGACGTTCATCAGTCCAGCGCCAAGGCGGGTGCTAGTGCTCCAAGAAGGTCGCGGAAATATCTACAATATGTATCATACTACTTCAGTACTATATATTCCAGATACTTCTCTGTATCATAAACCTCTAACATTATCTTTATGACTATGAGTCTGTTAGCACTTATTAAGTAGCCTCTCCATTCTAAACGGCTGCAGACTAGGGTGGTTATTATCATGAGAATACCATGACAAACTAGGTATGTAGAAAGTCTGGAAACAAAGGCGAGATGCGAACGAATGCATATACAAATAGTTTAGATAGCTAATAGTGTCCAATATCAATATCTTTACCTAAAGTAGCAAACGTACAGAGTAGGTATTGCTCGTTCGAGGACACGGGAGTTCGCGCTCCGCATGTTGTAGCAAAAGAGCAGCGCAAACCAACGAATGCGATCCCCAGAGAAGAATTCATTTATTGAGACTTATACGAAAGCTTAGTCTATTGGTAAAACTGCAGGCAAATAATACGCCTCGGAGGATAAACGGGAAATCTTGCGGTTGGAATAGGGGCTGCTTGTCCCGGATCTGTTGATTGAACAGTCGATGATTGACAGGCGGCAACGGGCCGGCGGCCGTGCAGAGTCGGCAGAACCCGATAATGCGACAATAGCATGAATATCTCCGTTAATCGATAATGCACTTATCGCAATACATGGAAATTGCAATGCGACTCCAGTAAAGAGGTAGAGAGAGTTATCGGCCGCACAGGAAGCATCATCCACAGACCTCACGACACCGTCGTCGCATATCCCAACAAGATGCAGCCCACGCGGATTCTGCGCAAGGGCCGATCCGTGTGGAAAGGTGAGCTCTTCCCCAGCTAATTAGAGGAAAACCACACCTGCCTTTGAAATTCGGTTCATATATGCTAACCATTGTCAATAGGCCCGCACATCGTCCCGTAAGTCAAGCTCCATTTCCCCGAACAGAGCAGGCGCATGAACCTCGAACGAGCGAAGCGAAGCAAAGGCCTCCCTAATAGAGCCCTACCCCGGATCTACCATCAATAGAGACATCTCCAAGTTCTATACCGCACCTTTCTGACGCTGCCCCCGCCTACAGTCTTCCCATTTCGCGTCAGCTGCCAGGCGAGAAAATAAAGCCGATCCGGACACAAGCCCGCTCCGCCACCATCCTGCCCAACTTCGTGGGCCTCTTGTTCCAGGTGCACAACGGCAAGATATACAACGACGTCATCATAACCGAGGACATGGTCGGACACAAGCTGGGCGAGTTCTCTCCGTACGTACATCACCCTTCCCCCCCTTTGCTATCGTCTCCTATCTATCCTATGCCGACAATATAATGGGAGTGGATTTGATCCAGTGCACCACGCTAACTGGATGCCTATTACCTTTGATATAGTACGAGAAAGCCCTTCATCTGGTCTCGCGCGTAGTAGACGGGAATGCCCACATAGGAATACGACTCCACGGCTATGGATAGACGAAGGCGAATAGTAGGAGAAAGCTGCATTCCGCATCCAATTGTCGTTTTATAAGCACTGGAGGCGATATCACAACAAGCATAGCGATGACCTGTCTGATCGCTTCAATGTACACTACGCAAAACTAAAATGTAAAACACGATGCATAAAAAAAACTACAAGTTACTAAATGCATGCAGTAATAATCATTTTTGTGCCTGTAGGCTTTCTTCATATACGGTATCGAGGCAAATTTAACAAAACGATCTTGTATACGTTGAACCAGTCATGAACCGGCTGATCCCCGCCTCCAACGACGGAGTTTCGACCGTGCCGCTTGCCCTATGTATGCCGTGATGCCTTGTATAGGCCCTGAACGCCTTGCGCCTATCTAGATCTCAACCAAGTGACTCCCTTAAACAGAAACGATAACTATTATGAAAGCCCCAACTAGACTGCCAGAATGCTCCGAGGTCGGGTTGGAATCCATCCCATCTACCGGTAGAACTCGCTCCGCTTCACGTTGACGCCGTACTCGCCGACGGCCATGCCGAGGTCCTCCATAGTAAGCACGGTGCGGTTCTGGCTGCCGCCCTGGCCGCCTCCACCGTAGCCGGCGCGCTGGATGCCGAGCGGGCCGCCGCGTGCCTGGTCCTTGCCGCCGCCGCCACCGCCAGCGGCGGCCTGGCCGGGCACGGCGATGCCGGCGGCGGCGCCGAGGTTGCCCATGGGGTTGTTGGCGCTCGTGTTGGAGGCGCGGATGCGGCTGTACTGGTACGCGTCGGCGGCCACGTCGGCGACGAACTTCTGCACCGCCAGCGCGATCAGGCGCGCGAGGCGGGGGTCCGTGTGCGGCGGAGGGGGCAGGCCCGCTTTCGTCATGTAGTAGTTTGTCACGGCGTCTGGGATCTGGCCCGGGGTGGATGCGTTGTTAGTTTGAATGAAAATTACACGTCATAGGAGGAGGGGGAGTGTGGGTTGGGAAGAAAGGGAGGAGCAGGGCTTACGATGGGGGCGTAGTCGTCCATCTTGGAGAGGAACTCCTTCAGGGATGTGTCTTTCTTGTTCGGCGGCTTGGTTTCTGCTGCGGCTACGGGGTGCTCTCCTTCGAGGAGCGGCGCGGTGCCCGAGGGGACTTGCTCGTTCCCGGTGGGTGCGCTCGCCATCGTGAGAGATGGGCGCGGATGTGTGATAACCGGGGTAGGAAGCGCGGTACAGTAGTGAAATTTCTTCGCTGAGGAGAGAAGTTGTATCCTCGGAGGATGTGAACTGGGTGCTCTTTGGTGATCTTGCTGAGAAGATGCGGATTCTCGAGGCGCAAGTCGCGTGGTACTTGATAGGATGCGCGGAGATTCAGACCGTCTGACGTGCAGAGAGGGAGCTCGTAGAAAGTGATTTATTGACAACAAGAGGCGCCGATTCTAACGGTAATCGATTGTACATGTATTTCCCCAATGGCAATTGGTGTTAGCTTGCAGCTCCTATTGGAAGATGTCGATAGTTGGTATGAGGGAAACGTGATCAACAATGATGATGATTGAAGTTAAGTTAACGATGGCTGGCGGATTAGGTAATCCTTTTTGGTAGAGCATGGAGAAAGATTGGCTGGAGTTGGCTCATCTTAAGTGGTGGTCTGTGCGCATTAAGATCCAGGTGCTTGGATTCTAGATTTCTATTGGATAGCCAAAATGCGCAAGACATCTTCCGTAGGCCCTCTGAACTCTATTTCAACTAGTAACCAATGTTTATGTTCTTGAGGAAGCACGTCGAAAAATAAACAAGAGTTACAGCTCATCGTAGGTATATTTATATTGTTAGTCAAATAGGGACTCAAAATGTTGCCTAATTACCAAAATTGAATCATGCCACGAGGCGTTAGTAGTATCTTTGCTTTTTATTCCAGCCTTAAACCTGTCTTTTAACTGTTTCATGCGTTAGGGTACCTACGCCTTACAGTAATACCACCAATATACCCGTTGTGGGTGAGATCGCACGTGGCCATGCCTCTATTCGGGACTGTGTTCCTGGGGCCGCAGCCGCAACTGCTTCTCGGAAAGCGCCCTGCAATATCGGCAAGCCGAGAAACTACCTAGGTATAGATTCGACTAACACGATGCAATTACGTCAAGCCAACCACCAACACTCTTCTACTACATAACCCTGACGGCTAACGACAACCTCACTCCCTTCCTGAGATCTCACGATAACGCGCCCCGTCTCCGAACATGAGGAAACAGGTCCTGTTCCGATGGCTTGGTGGTCTAGTGGTATGATTCTCGCTTAGGGTTCACCCTATAGCACTGCTTGCGAGAGGTCCCGGGTTCAATCCCCGGCCAAGCCCGTCTCATATGCGCCTCGGCTTATCTTTATTGACTTCCTAGTGCAATGGTTATCACAGCGGATTTTGATTCCGCCTGTGATTTTGATTCCGCTAATCTGAGTTCGATTCTCGGGGAGGTCTTGATACATTCGTTTTGTAATGTCTCTTCCTAACTTTTTGGGTTTTAGCCGGTGTTGGTTTCTCTGCGATATTACCCAAATAAAAAATATAGGCCAATGGACCCTGAGATAATACCTATTAGCCATGACATGGGAGAGCAGTGGATTTCCGCAGACAAGGTTTCCAGAATAAAGCTTGCAAGCTCTCACAGAAGCCTACTATAACATGTCTCATATATGGTGCTAATACGTCGGTGTACAGAAATTGTAGGACTAATAGACACTAAAGTGGTAAAAGAATAAATATCAAGCATTCTAATTAAAATCTTCTTTCTTTTCTGATCAACACAGGTATTAATAGCAAAACCATTTCTCTGTATGTATTTACGGGTAGGGTACAAAAGAGGTAAGCATTTATACAGGGCTAAGCTTTATGGGTTTGAATTGTCAACTCGAAATTCTATACATTTGTATAGGGGTCATCATCTATGTGAGAGATACCCAAGATTTGAAGAGGTAGCCAAATAGTTGGTTGTACATAATCTCATGGTTCTAGAATCTAGATGTATGCGTAAGGTGGTAGGTAGCCGGAGGGTCTTCGCCTCTATGTACTTTTCCTTGGCAGCACTAAACCGCTGGGTTTTCACATGCACGTTCTTCCGGTGCACGAGCTATGCGTAGGTACCTAAGTACCAGAGTATACGCAGACCCCCACTAGGGCCCAAAATATAGTACTGCATACTATGCGCTAGGCAATACCTAAAACTTTTACCTACTGTAGGTACCTTTTACTGAACTTACAAGCAATGACGATTCAGTGCCTTATTACCTACATCTCCGTACCGCCTAGAATATCCATTTTTGATAGGTATGTAAGCATTGCCGACTCAGGCTGGCTACATATATATAAATCTTTTTGCTTTTGCTTTTGCTTCAACCTGCCGTGCTGCATCATCATCTGTCACATCAGCCACTGCCGCTGGAAATCCCCTGAGCGCTCATCACCGGCTGTCCAACCACAGCAGCGTTGCAGGGTCGCAGCGTAGCGCACACCCGGTACTGTGCACCCCGCGATTTGCCACCGATTCGTGCCGATTGGACTGTTACCCGTGTCTTGCTGCTGTGAGACAGCTCAATTTTTTTCTCTCTTGTTCTCGTCGCTCCGACCACCTAGCTAGGGGGCCAGTGCAAGTTCTTTTGCTGAAGCCGGCGCCGATTGCGATTGGCCTTTTCTTTTATAAGAAAGCATCGATTCCCGTCGAAACTCTCGTGCTTCCCCTCCCTTTGGTCACAATGGGCGACATGGCGAACGAGATTAAACTGCTCTCGGGAAATAGCCACCCCGTGCTGGCCAAGCTGGTTGCTGACCGGTAAGTCGATCGATCGATCAATCAATCAATCAATTAATTGATTATCTATTTATCTATTTATCTATCTATCTATCTATCTGATTATCTTCGATCCTTCTACAACTTCGACTACTGCCTACTCTGCACTTATCAGCTATCCTGCACCTTTTTAAGCGAATGTCGCCGACTCTATTTTTCGTGTAACACTACATGCGGCGGCTATTGATGGCCTGCCTACCCAAAAACTCTTCCAGCTAGCTTGGCCTTTTGTTGGCGTGCGCAACCTTGTACAAGGCGATTATGTAGACCACAACACTAACTAGAGTCCTACGGATAGGCTGGGCATCGAGCTCGCGAAGACTCTAAGTCTCAACTACTCCAACCAGGAGACGAGTGTAACAATTGGTGAATCGGTTCGCGACGAGGATGGTACAACACCCTCTAAATCTATAATTCAACCGCTCTTGGATAAGCTGTTCTGACAGAATATGCCTCTTCAGTCTTCATCCTCCAGTCCACTGCGCCGGGCGATATCAACGATGGGCTTATGGAGCTTCTCATAATGATCCATGCCTGTCGAACCGCCTCCGCACGACGAATCACCGCCGTCATCCCCAACTTCCCGTATGCGCGCCAGGACAAGAAGGACAAGAGCCGCGCGCCCATCTCCGCCAAACTCATCGCGAACATGCTGCAAACTGCCGGCTGCAACCACGTCATTACGATGGACCTGCACGCCTCCCAGATCCAAGGCTTCTTCAACGTACCTGTAGATAATCTCTACGCGGAGCCCAGCGTGCTGCGCTGGATTCGCGAGCACCGCGGCACCGAGGACGTCGTCATCGTCAGCCCGGACGCCGGCGGCGCCAAGCGGTAAGCAAGCCTCTCCCACAGCGCACAACCGAACCCCGGCGCGAAGCAGACAGCAGAGCTAACACGACTCCCGCCACACAGCGCCACCGCCATCGCCGACCGCCTGGACCGCGGCTTCGCCCTGATCCACAAGGAGCGCCCGCGCCCCAACGTCGTCGGCCGCATGGTGCTCGTCGGCGACGTCGTCGACAAGGTCGCCATCCTCGTCGACGACATGGCCGACACCTGCGGCACCCTCGCCAAGGCCGCCAAGACGGTCAAGGACCACGGCGCCCGCGAGGTCATCGCCATCGTCACCCACGGCATCCTCAGCGGCAACGCCATCGCCATCCTCAACGACAGCTGCCTCAGCCAGATCGTCGTCACCAACACCGTCCCCCTCGGCGACAAGGTCGACCGCTGCAGCAAGCTGCGCGTCATCGACGTCAGCCCCACCCTCGCCGAAGCCATCCGCCGAACTCATAATGGAGAGAGTGTGAGGTATGTCATGTTTTCCGCTGACCCTACCCCTCCCCCCATCGATGCACCGCTAACGAGCCTGTAGCTTTCTATTCAACCACGCTCCCGCCTAGTGTGGATAGGGGGTATGTGGGTGATTAGCTTGGGAGTGAAGACTATGGGGAAAACTGGTGTGGATGGGAGGGAGAGTGCTTGTAGCAGGGATCGCATTTGGCGGCACTCTCTGGGGTCTAATTGGCGTTAAAATGGTATATGGACTTTCTGCATCGGGTGTCATAATGGCATCGTAACATATAAACGACGTCAAAACACGTGGGCTTCGAGGATGTGATAAATCGTCTTGCGTGGACATGTATCTATGGGAGGTTTAGTGTTGGAGTTATGCTGCATCAGCACATCAATTGCATAGGTTGGCGAATTATAGTTTGGCTTGTCGGGAAATTCTAGACATGAGACATGATTTCAAGAGAATCACACGATAATAGACGTATATATTGCTGAACAAATGGAATTGCCTTGTTGGGAATCTTGAGTCTCGTTTCATTTTTGGTGGCCGCCAGGGAATACACTAAAGCCATTCATCGGCCTATCTAAGGTCACTCATGACCATCCCGTAATGCCTACCGTAGCCATGATTTTCATGCCGAAATGCAACAACCAGAAGACACCTACCGAACGCCTGGAAGCATCTACTTGCGCATGGAACTTGCCCTTCTCTTGCGGGCATCCGCCTTGGAGGAGCGGGCGTCAGCGACACGCTTAGCCAAGACCTGGGCGTACTCGTTCTATAGCAAGAGTGTTAGTAGGACAGCACTGAGTCGCGTAGTTTGTAGGGTTGGATAACGTACGGCCTCGTCCTTGACCTTCTCGGCCTGGCGACGCTTGAGCGCAACACGGTGGCGCTTGTGCTGGAGACGCTGGGGAGTGACCAGTCTCTGGATACGGGGGGCCTTGGTGTAAGGCGTCTTGCCCTCACCCTTGGGCTGGACTTCACGTCGGATAACGTACTTTCGGACCTATTCAATAGAGAGGGAAAACCCAAAGATATTAGCCATCATATGCTCCCATAGTTTCATGTGTTTCCTTGCTCTCAGACTCTACTTCGGTGGTTACACTGCTAAGGATTCTTCTCTCTCATCCCGCAGAAGCAACGACCGAGTAGGTGATGACGAGTGTTGTAATTCTACTTACATCGTCATCCTTGCTGAGGCCGAAGAAGCGGCGAATCTTGGTAGCACGCTTGGGGCCGAGGCGCTTGGGGTGGACGACGTCGGTAAGGCCGGGGATCTCGCTTTCACCCTGCTTGACGATGGAGAGAGCAAGGACGGAGAGGTCCATGCCGACGATGCAGCCACGGACGGACTTTCGCTTGCGCTCGCCGGTGCGGCGGGGTCGGTAGCAGGAGTGGCCTTCGGAGAGTAGGAGTCGGACACGGGTAGGGTGCAGGACACCTTGCTTCATGGGGAAACCCTGCTTGTCGTTTCCACCGGTAATGCGGAAAACGTAGCCCTTGAACTCATCGCCAAGGTTGTCACCGGGGATTTCCTGGCCCATCTGATAGCACCACTACGTTAGTAACCCGATTCATGTTCACGTTCATATTCATATCCGATCCATATTGAAAATGATATTTCTTTTTTTCCTAGGGGTCGACGAGATGGTCGCGCAATGCCTGCTGACGGGGAAGGGTCGCCTGAGGTTTGCATGTAGGGACCGCGATCTGCTCGTCGAATCTAGTATCGGGAAGAGGAAAGGCGGGATGGAAAACGTACTCGCTTCTCCATGAAGTCGCGGAGCTTACGCTCATCTTCGATCTCGATTAACTTTTGGCTGCCATTGGCAGGGTAGGAGATGTTCAGCTTCATCTCGGCGGTGGCTGTTGGCGATCGACTTTGGGTGACGTGGATTGAGAGAGGAAGTCAAATCGTGACCGAGAATGCTAGAGATAATCGATGGTTGGTTGTGATTTTGGTTTTCTCGCTAATCCTAATTTTTCTCTGGGTCCTGCACGAAAGAGGTGGGATAACGCTAGGGCAAGCGAGTGCGCACTGACCACATATCCTTGCTATCGATAATGCTGAGGGAGGGCCTACCTACAATAGACCCACTATCTAGGGGATCCTACAATTGGTTGGCATCTCGCTGCTTGCTGCACCATACATAGCATTCTATTATATGTCATGTATGCAGTTGTAACTACATTGCTTTCTGTATTTTTCACTTGAAATTGAATATCTACTGCTTAATAACGATACGATGACATCTTCCGTAACTCTTCGTCTATGCACTCCCATCGCCGAAGCTTCTTCACCAAATCCCTTACCGCAGCTTATACAGACAC